TTTTCTCCTATTTGACAGTTGTTTAAGCTTCATTGTGTTAAGTGTGCCCTTTCGTTCTGTTTTTGGCTCTGTGATGAGGGCGTGCAGGTATTCTGAATAGCTCACCCTTGACTTTTAGTAATAGCTTCTTCTGCTGCGAGGAGACGCAGATGATCAGACCTGTTCTGCTGCTTCAGGCTCCTCCTGTTCTATATTGAGCTTCAGGCTTTGCCTGCCACCACACCTGCAAGTTCTACAGTGCATCCTCTGCCCCAGGTGCCAACTTGTGCACCCCCTTATCTAGTGCAGTGCTGGGTCTCAGGAGTCCCTGATACTGGGATGTGCCTGTTTTGGAAACTGCAGAGGGCTCTGGCCTTCCTTCTCGTGGGTTGCACTGCTCTGGTATCACTATTCATAGAGCTCACCTCAAGTTTTCTACCCTACCCGCCAGACTATGGTTTCTGGTGTGTGCTGCAGTCATCTGTTTTTCCTTCAGGGGTTTTGGCTTTGTTTACTGCAGCTTAGTTATGAGTAGGTAAAGGAGGTGAACCTGATGTCTGCTCTGCCACTCAGATTCCATGTTGGATGATTTTTTGAAATTAATTTCATAAAGTCTCTATTTGCCATTTGAGGGCCACTGAGCTATCAAAAATTCCAAGTGCGGAGACAGGACACACCATGAATGCTGGAGCTAGACACCCTGAAAGTCTCAAGCACGGTCACTAAGTTCAGTTAGCTGAGTAGTCGCTAATGACTGATTGTGTTTTCTTTAAACACCTGGGACCAACAAGTCTCCTAGTCTTTGCCTAGAGGGTTCTGTGGGCATTTGGGTTATACCTTCGATACTAAGCCAGGAAGTAGAAACTCTGCCTTAGTCCAGACTTCCTGCTAGTGCAGCATCTCAAGTTCATAGAGCTGAGCTCTCAGGACTGTCCGGCTGGTCCCCGGCATATACACAGACCAGTGCCTTTGCCTGGACTTCTAAGAGCCTCAAGAACATGTTGGAAATTTTCAAAGCCCCTGTGGATATCTCATTTCTCAGCTTTTCCTTTTAAGCTTTTGGTTAGTCTGTTTGCTTCAACTGTTATCCATCACTTTAGGCAGCTGTGCTGTTAAGTCACTGGACAACCCCCCGCCTTACTGCCCCCCCAGGGAGAGGCTGTCAGCGCTGGGTAAGTTCGAGCGAGGTCAATAAAGACAAGTCTATTAAATAGGGTCTTCCAGGAAGCCATCACCCAAATCTCACAGTGACTGTTCTTTGGGAAGGAGACTTTGAAAGGGCTCCAGCCTTGTTCTGCTCTCTCTGGAACAATCATTACTCAAGACTGCCACTGAGCTGGTGGATGGGGATAGAGTGAGTTAAAGCCCCACAAAACTCACTGTGCTTACCACATTTCAGCCATTTTTTTTTTTTTGACTAAATGTTCCCTGTGTTGCTACAAGCCTTCAGTTGATTTCCAGTTCAGAAAAGGATTGATCACCTTTGCTACATTTTGTTAGTTTGTTTTCTGTCTTCTGGAGCCATGAAATGAACTCTGCCATTTTTGGTAACATTACCTTCTGGCCTGGTCTTATGTGGTATAGGGGTTCTTTTGCCCTCCTTCCCACAAGGCAAGTAGAGCTGAGGGAGAGGCCAGCGGGAATAGGGCACAGAGGGTTTGGCCAAGGCCACATCCTCAGAACTATGTGCCAGGAGCCCTGAGTCTGCAGGTGCCTGCAGCGAGGTGCACAAAGCCCTTGGGCTCTGAGCGTGGCAGCCGCTCCTGCTGCTAGCTTAGACAGAAGGCATGCAGACAGGTGAGGAATGAGGGAGTGATCCTCTTTCTTTTCAGAGCGCTAAATCCCAACCCTTTACTTCAACTTTGTGCTTTCTCTGGAAATGGAGAACAGAGGGCACAGAGGCAATTGCATACCTCCATCCTACAGTGCCACAGGGTCCCCCCTCAGCTCTTAGCAGGCAGAGTGTCCTGTGGAGGCAATTGGGTGGGTTTGTGCAGAGGTGGCTATGGGCAGGCTGCCTGGCTCCGTAGGATGACAGGGCACTGTTGTTTAAGGTAACTACAACAGACAGGCAAAGTGGGTGATATAAGTGACCCCGTAGTGAGCAGCTGGACTCAGACTGTTTTGGCTTAAAGCTTCTAAAGGCTAGAAGCAGTTGCCAGAAACCAGTCGTTAACCCTCACACCTCCTTGAAATCACTGGTGTGAACTGGCCTTGCCCTGCTGGCCCATAGCTGGTCAGCTGCTGATGTCTCTGTAGGAGGGATGGAGCAGGAGTTTCCTGGTGGGGGTGGGAAATGGGGCTTCAGCTTAGTGGATTCTGTTCTCCCTCCTCCCATCCTCCCCTGGGGCCTGCCAAGAACCTGAGAAATTCCTGACTTTATTTTCTTTGGCAAATGAAATCATAAACTGTTTATAATTCATTTCCCCTCTACCAGCACATCTTCCTCTCATGGGCCACTGACCAGGCACTTGTCCCTGTGTCTCCCCACCTGCTTAGTTGCTCCTTGTTAGGTGGGTTGGAGGGTGATCTGTGCAACTCCTGGACACCAGGCTGACCCTTGCTAGCCTTCAAGATTGTTTAGACACATCCACTCAACATCCTAGTACCCTTGGAGCTGGCCTGCCATCCATGCCCTGTCTCAGGGTCTGGGCCAAGGAGAGGAAAGCAGGAAGGCAAGATCACTCACTGCAACTAGGCCCCCCTGCGACTTTGCATAGCCAATGACTGCTCAGCTATTAGGTGCTGGGCAGACAGTGACCAAAGTAGGGACAGGTCACCTGTCCCCAGAGAGTACAGCTCCATAAAGTCTCTGAAGCAGGGATCCTGGTTCTGGGGAGAGATGAGAGTTTCAGCTCAGTGGATTCTGTTCTCCCTCTATCTCCCCAACTCTGGGTGAATGACATCATTCGTACCCACAAGTGAGCTGGGGGTAGTTCCAGTTGAGTTATGTCTGCAAAAGGGAACCTCTGAGGAAGTCTCAAAATCAGGCCAAACAGTGCTTTACTCATAGGATTTCACGTTGATCTTTTTTACTTGGACAGATCAAAGGTGCCCTGGAATATGGACTTACAAGTGATGACATCTTCTGGCTGAAGGAATCTCCTGGGAAAACGTAAGACCTGATGTGTGGTTCATCGGGGGTTCTCTATTTGTCCACCACTGTAAACCCTAGGGCCATCTAGACCCCCATGCTGTTCTGCTCTCCCAGCTGAGATGGGACTTCTTTTCAGGTACCCATAAGTAAAGACAGCCTGGTGGTTATGTGCCTTGGCAGAGCTGTCAGCATACTGTGTCCTGTGACTGTCTTGAAGTGATGGCAGGTCACAAGGGTGGACTGGTCATTTATTGTCAAGGGTACCGGTTTTCAAACAGGTAACCCAAGAGCCACTAGGTTGCAGTGGGTGCTGTCATGAGTTATCAGGGAGAGAGGGCTTCAAGGAGGGGAAATCAGGATCAGGTGGGTTGTCAGGGAATGCCCTGACCTCTGGCTTCTATCAAATGTCCCATTTTCATCTAGTTTGCACCCTGAATCTTGCAGACTTTCTAAAGGATTCAGTTGTAAAAATGATATCTGCAGTGTGCATGGTTTTGCACTCCCTAAGCAAGCACAAATGCACATTCCTGTGCCTAGGGAGCAGGCTCTTACTGGGTTTCAAGTCCAGGCAGTAGTGCTTACGGCATAGATGGGACTTTATGCACGCAGGGACAGGAAAGGCCACTGGAGGGCAGTACAGGCTTAGTCATCAGCAGATCTTAGCTGCCTTGGAACTTTTCCCACAATAGGAAAAATGTGAATAATACAACAACATAAAAACGTAAAACTTCTGTATGAAAAACTGTTGCCAAGTCAAAATCACAACCTGGGGACCCAGTGAAAGCTGACTGTTAGTGATCCCAAGAAGTGGACAGGCGCTTTTGCGAAAATATGTATGTGGGGGAATGTGTATGCCAGTTTGTGTGTGTGTGGTGAACATGTGAGAGTGTGCATGTCACGTGCTCTGCTTGTCATCATTGATGCCCACTTCTAAGGCATTTGGCTAGGAATTAGGGCTTGGTTCCCTCAAGTGAATATGATGCAGTTTATCTTTCAGCTGTTCAAAAGCATCTCAGCAACCTCTCCTTTCTTTGTTATAAAATGCTACAATGAAAACCTTTGGTGTGTATCATATATACAGTTTGAAGTGCTTCTTCTCTGTTACACATTTTTCAGGGGTGTTTCCTACAAGTGGAAACCCAGATGCAGGGGAGATGCTGTCACACCATTATCATTTGCCCCTGTGCTCTCTCCTGGTGGGCTGTGCCCAGTTACCTGAGCACTTCCACAGGTCGGCTTCGGCCTCAGCTTCCTCATAAAGCATAAAATGAAAAGGGGCTTCTCCCTCTCCCTCCACCTCCTCTCACGCCCAGTAAGCACTGGTTGTTTCTCCAGATGCACTTCCCAGGCCCTAGGACTGCCACTGTGCCGTGCAGGTTGGGGTCACTGACAGTCAACTTTCACTGGGTCCCCAGGTTGTGGTTTGGCCCTTGACTTGGTGACAATTTTTCATGCAGAAGTTTTTACATTTTGTTACATTGATCACTTTTTTCTTTTAACTGTAATTTCTGGGTAATCTTTTATCTTCAACTATCTAGTAGATTAAACATGACCTGATTCTATTTGCATTTGCTGTAATTACTCATTTCTTGGTGTCTTTATTGGTTATTTAAAATTGTGTCTGTGAATGTGGGGAGGCCTGTGTGCATGCAGAATGTCAGCTTGATTCTGGGTCCTCTTTCTGTCTGCTTTTTCCTTTTCTTTTATCTTTTTCTTATCTTCTGGCTAGTTTGTGTATTAGAGTTGTCACCCTATGTCATTTACATTGCAGATTTTCTTAACTTGTCCTTGTCTTTTAACTTATGTGATATACAAATGATTTTTATGAATGTGTCTCAGAGCTCTTTTTATATTTAACAACTTTTAGATTTATTGCATGCTCAAGGAGGCCCACTCACCTCCAGGACTGTTTTTAAAGAAAGTCCCCTCCATTTTCCTATAGCTTTTCCATGGGTGGCTTTTCCTTTCGGTCCTTGGGGAACTTGTAGTTGTCTGTGGTGAAGTTCAATGAGGCCTGCTGCTGGAGTTCCCCCTTTGCTGAAGGCACAGCCCCTTCCACGCACTGCAGTGTCCATCCCCATGGGGCCCCAGTCTCTCTTTGGCTCCAGTCTCCACTTTCAGCCCCACTGGAACTGTCTTCTCAGCCACCAGAGCTGCCTGCTAGTGTCCAGATCTTTTTAGTTTTCTCTGGGTGGAACCTAGATATGTTGCCCGGCTGGCTGTAACAGTCTGCTGGCCTTATGATGGAAAGGATCTTAAATATGCAGCTCCCTGGGAGACAGGCTCCCTGCACAAGGCTTCTGTTCAGTCCTTCTGGCTCATCACCAAAGGGCAGTATTTTCTGAATCCTGTATTTTGTCAGATTAGTTGCTGAGTGCTTTATTGTTTTCCTTTGTTTGCTATTTCCCTATACATTTTAAAATGTAGTCAGCCTCCAGGAGGGGGCCAACTTCTGGTGTTTCTCTCTCTACCTGCTGCTTGAGGCTAGGTAGACTGGGGGCCCAGGCTGCTGCTGCTTGGGGCTGGGGGGAGCAGCCCAGTGTGGGTGCTGGTGGCGCTCAGCAAGTGGCCCTGGGCGTGGGCTGTTGGGGGCAGCAGTCTGCTGGACGGGAAGACACAGCTCCAGATATTTTGGTCAGGAAAGAAACTGCAGTGTTTATTTTCTTCAGAAAAAAAACATTTAGAAGATTTTTTTAAAAGCTTTTGGTTTATAAGGAATTTAGGTATGTTATTGTTTAAGAAAAAAGTGTTTGCAATGTATCAGTCACCCGTTTAGTTCTGAGCATGATTTATGTGAGGAAATGGTTTTTTTAAAAATTAAGCTAGAGATATATCCCTGTACGATGCTTCTGTGAAAATGCGGCTTTTGTCCAATGCTGTTAATGCAAGTTGTAACAGTGTGATATGGGAGTCAGTGTTTACATGTTACATTCCTCTGCTGCAGTCAAAATAAGCCCGGAGGGTCTACAGTAGCATTTCTGTATTTTATCAGCTTGGGCTGGGGCTGAGGGGGAGGCCTCTGCTCACACTTGGAGGGGCTGTTTCTGCCAGATTTATTTGCCTTATAAATATTCCCCGTGTTTATTTTAACTCGCCTTTAAAATGGAGCTGAAATTAATATGGACCTGAGGGCTGCCCCCCCTGCCCCCAGGGTGCCTCCTGTAGCAGTTGGGGACATTTCTACTTGGCCCTATTTGGGAGGCCCACCAGTGGCCAAGGGTGCCCAGTGTGCCTGGCTTCTGTAGGCACAGAGGGTGCCCAGTGCACCTGGCATGGTGCTGTGTCCCCTGGCATAATCCTAAGGCCTGTTGAGGGCTATGTCTGGGCGTACCCAGACAGGCCCCAGGTCCCCAGTGGGTTCTGCAGCATGCACAGGGCCTCCCTCCCACCTTCCTCTCCATAATGGGGTACAGGTGGCAGCCAGGACCTTCTTTCTGGGTGTGTCTTCATCTGGCACAATTACCAGGAGCTTCAGGTCTGGTGAGTGGAGTTCATAGTGGAGCCTACAGCCCCTCAGCCTTCCAAACTTGTTCCAGTCTCTTTTGCCCCAAGAGTCATCCTGCTCTTTGGGCCCTAGAGCCCATGGAGGCATCTAGCCTTATGGACAGTTGAGGAGTCCCTCCTTCCTCTTTTGCTTACATCTAGGTCTGGGGAACCCAGAGCAAAAAAGATGGCAGAGAGGGAGCAATTAAACCCAGCCCATTGGTAGAAGACAGAATTATTCTTTTTACTACATAGCTGGGTGCCTGGTTCAGAACACCTGGAGGTGGCAGATCATATGTAGAAGGCTCTAGCATGTGCAGCTTGAGCTCCTGCACCCTTGGTCAGGACCCCTGAGGCCAAGTAGGGGTGGAGGTTGAGGGCCTTAGGCCCCAGAACCTACAATGTGAGTATCGTCTGGGCCCAGTAGTGCTTATGGACTCTGAGCCAGCTCTGCAGGCTGGTATCTACTGCCTCAGCCCCTGTGCAGCATTGTGTCTAGCTTGTTTGCCTTTCTGTTGTTGTTTCTTCATTTTTTCCCCCGTAGAAATCTAGAATAGTTTGAACAAGTGAGGAAGATTCTGGTGAAAGGACAGGGCCTCCTGGGCAAGTAGCAGGAACTGCCCACTGCCAGTGAGAGAAATGGGGCAAATTGGGGTATGCAGCTTCACAAGGGAAAGCTCAGAGGCACTGGCAGCTTCCGGAAGAAGTCCAGCCATTCAGATGAAGGGGAGGAAGTGGGGCTCACTACCCACAGCTCCTTTAAGGAAACAGGCATTGCATTATCTGGGCCAAAGGTGTCTGAGGCCTCTAGAGTCTACCCTTGCTTACCTGGCGGGCACCCCCTGGACCCAGCAGCCTAGCACCCAACCTGCCCAGACTAGAGGACCTCTGGTCCTCCTTCCTGCGATTGTTCCCTAATGGTGAATCAAGATCACTGTACTCAGGACCCCTTCAGCAACCTGACCCAGCTGGTCAGCACTCCTGCCTCAGTCAGCTCTGTGTCCGGAGTCAGCTTTTGGCAGAACTGAGCTCTGCACCAGAAGTTTGTGGCTATCTTTAGTGTGGTCACCTTTCTCTGAAGGCAAAGAACATTTGAATGAGGCCAGAGTCCCCATGGGCCCTCTATACCCACACTGGGCCCTCGAGACACCGGAGTTGCCATTTCCTGCTGCTTAGCGGTAGCCCTGCTTGGTCCCCTAGAAGATCTGCAGAGTGAAGATCTATCAGGCCTTCTCTACAATGCTGGCCACTCACTAGCTGAGGCCTGTCCACTCTCCTGCAGCTGTACCCGTTTCCTGAGCCTGTCCTTGGAGTCCAGGACTCTGAGAAACAGGGAGAGTGTTTTTGTAACTCGGACTGATTTAATACTGCCTGTCAGACTCGTTCGTGGAATGAGTTTTTGTTTGACCCTCATTATTAAGTCCAGAAGCTGACCAGATTCTGTAATCACTCCTCTTTTTCCTAAGTGCAAGAGGGAAGAATGTAAATTTTATCTTGCAAAAAACCACAGCCATTTATTTAGAAAAATTCACTCTCACTTAGTTTTCTCATGTTCTGCTTAGCTTCCATGCTCCTTTGTGTCCAGCAAGAGGGAGTGCAGTCTTCTGCCTGGGGCTTAGCTACCAGTCACAGAGCCCTGCTTCTTACGTCCCCAGGTGTGTCCTGTGACTAAGGTACACAGATGTCAGGAGCTGAGACAGGTATCTCCTTTGGGTGGCAGCAGTCACAGGGCCAGAGCGTTTAGGTACTATCAGAGGCTTAGCTCAAACAGAGGCTTAGCTGTGCGAAGCTGGGCCTAGTATCAGGGCCCTGGAGTGCAACTGGGCCAGTGGGTCCCAAGCAGGCCTGGAGCAGGCCCCACAGGAGAGGCTGCCTCCCTGGGCCCCAGGCACAGCAACCTGTGGGGCATTTCCTGCACTGGTGGGACTGCCAAGGGACCAGATGCCTGCCATGAGGCTCTCAGTTTGTGTATGTGATCCCCTCGGGGAGTGGATCAGGAGCCTTCAGACTCGAGAGGCAGGTGGAGAGCTCTTTAAGTCCAGGCTTCATGGGTTTGAATTAAGCTTTTGTTTCTGCTTCCTCCCCCCACTCAGATTCTGAACAACAAAGCCTGCCCTGTGATTAGGCTAATCCCACAGTAGTTATACCTTCAAATAAAATCTTTGCACACCAAAAGTCACAGAGAGTGGAGCTGCCCAAAGTACACGTGAAGTTCATGAGTTCCCAGGGAGGAGGGTTGACTTCTGGCCTTGGTTGATGCCCTTATTTCTAGGTCTCTTGATGTCTGCGTTCTGGCAAGTGTTCCCAGCCCCTTCTCTGTGTCCAACAAGCTGGGCTACTGACATCTGCTGCAGCGCCACCATCCTCTCCTGGCTGTCCCGCCTGAACCCGCCTGCACTAGGGCCCAGTCCCCTGTCTTACCCAAGGGTTTCCTCAGTGGCCAGCAGAAGCTGATCCTTTCAAACCTATGAGAAAAACCAGTGGTGTCCTGTGTTCTGGTACCTTCAACCTCTCATGGTCTGTAGGCTGAGATACGGTCTGGTTTTGCTGCAGCATTTTTTTACTTTAGCCCATTTGAAAGGAGTCCTCTGGGTGAGTTCGCAGATTCTGCCTCCTTCAAAGAATAATAATCATCTGGTATGTTAGGAGTCATCCCAAAAGTGATTTCGTCAAGATTCTGTTCCCTGTTCTGCACGAGAAGAAGCCGTGCACCGGTTGTTTCCTGCAGGGTACCTGCAGGAATATTCCAGAGGAATGAAATGGAATTATATCATTAGTACCTGCCAGGATTAGCGCTGACACTGGGCTTATCCAGCCTTACATCACCTCCTCTTGTTCAAAGGCTGAAGAGGTGATCTGACAAGCCCACCCACACATTGCCGCCTGGGCTGGGAGTTTATATTCTGTTAAGTTCTGTGCATTTGTGTATGTGTGCATGCATGCAGGCATTGGAGCTGAATAGCAGGAGAGGGATTATATTATATTTTAGGCAAGGCTGCTGTTGCTAGTGTCCTCTGTCTCCTCTCTTCTTCAGTCCTTTATCCTCGCTCAGGGGATCTAGCTCTCCTGGCCCTGGGATGCTGAACAGACAGCTGTTCTACCCATAGATGATGATTTCCCAGGAGTCTCCCCACCATCTGTTGCCCTCCCCCAGCTGCTCAGTGTCTCTGTTTTGCCCCTGGCCCAAGGAGGTCCACAGGGACCCCACAGTAGTTCTTGTGACTCTTCTAAGTAGACATTCTCAACACATCCACAGCTTCCGTGTTGGTCCTGCTATTCAAGGGACATGTGCCATATTATCACTGACCTCACTTGTCCCTTGCCACCACACAATTTCCTGATTCAGTTTGTGATGTTGTAGATCACAACAGAAGCCTCTGGGGGTGGATTTTATACCATAGGGTGGCCTGCTTGAACTGTTATCCTCAGCTGATGCAACAGCGACAAATTAGCTGACCAAGCACCTTACATGAAGACTGAAGAGACCTGTCTCCAGAAGCGACCTGTCCCACCGCAGAGGCTCCCTTTGGGACTACCATGCTTCATGGTGGCCTCATGTGCGACTCATGTCTCTTCTTTCTGTGTGTCCATTGCTTCTACAGGTTGGTGGTCGGTGCCAGCTGTATCCTTTGCCGAGGTGCAGCTGACAAATGGCTGAGGGGATTTCCTGAGGGGAAACTCAGTCTGACAGCCCCTCCCCATCTGTTCTCCCTCCTATCAAGGAACAAACTCTGCCACCTGGAAATGGCACTTATGGAACCACTCAGCGTGGATGACCATTGTGGAGGGGGCATTTTGAACATGATCTTCTGTGGCTAGAACTTCCTGGAGGCTTTTACTGGGTGGCATGCTGAGATGGCTAAGCCAGCCAGGGCAGCTGGACACAGCCATGAGCAAGGCAGTCTTCCCTGGGGAGCAGCCCCATTCTAGACTCATCCATCAGAGGGAGCAGTGAAACCAAGGAGGGCTGAGGGAGGAGTGTGGGAGGACCTGGAGCTGGGAAAGGGACATCTAAGAACAGATAAAAGCACTGGGACTGCTAACAGATCACAGGTGGAAGGCGGCTGCCTTGTGTCTCTCAAGGAGGCTTTTCCTTTCTGTCACCACTGGAACCCCTTGGGGAGTAGCCCTGGCCCTGGAGGCTGCGGAAGCCTGGGCAGATGCCCCATGGAGGCGGAAGCTGCCTGACCTGTGGGTCCCGGAGGGAGCTCCCCACCTCACACTGGATGTACATTTAAGAGATGGGTGTGTGTGGTGATAGGGGGTTCTCTTTTGAAATGATGGTCTCGTCCTTAGATTCCCAATCTGATCTGTTAGCCTTCCTTACCCAACTCTGCCAGATGTGGCCCTGGAGTGCGCTGGCTTCCTCACAGGGATTGGACTGGACACCACCATCATGATGCGCAGCATCCCCCTCCGGGGCTTCGACCAGGTAGTGCCCTGTCATCCCCAGTTCCCACCTGTGGCTCTGCTCTCCTGAGGGCTATCCTGTACCAGGCAGGGTTAGGTGTGGGCTGGATGTGCGATCTTAGAATTTAGAAATCGGTTCTTGAGTTGAACAGTAAGACTGTCCCCAAAATGCACAGCACCTGCCAGAGTGGAACTGAAGGTTGCTGCATGGAACATGTTACATTTTCCCAGAGAACCAAAAAGGATGCCCAAAGGCATGCTGGGCCAGATTCAGGGACCAGAGGTTGGGTCACTCTTTCTAGGCATCCTATTGCTAAGTGGCAGGCTGTGGTACCCTTACTGAGTCCCTGTAGGGTTTGAACCAAATCATCAAGGGCAACGGGGGAAACAGGTGGCAACTGGTGAGACCCTGTGTGATCACCTTGGAACACAGGAGCCCCTGGTGACAATGCTGGCCGCCTGGCATAAACTGAAAAGTTGTAGCAAGCCAGGATGAGCACTTGGGTCTGCTGGTGGCGGGTGGTCTTCCCTGAATGTGCCAGGCGTGTCATTACAGCCTCCAAGGGCCGAGGGCCAGTGCTGCTGCTGCAGTTTACAGCAGGTCCGGGGGTCAGATGCTTCTGATCTCCAGCTGGGAAACAGACACCTACACTGAAAGCTGGGCAACTGCATGAGGACTGAATGGAGATTTCTTTCTTTCTTTCTTTCTTTTTTAAGATGTATTTATTTATTCATATGGAACTGGGGTACAGGCCAGAGATGTGGAGGGTGAGAGGATTCACCAGAGACAGAGAGGGGAGCAGACAAAGTACACTGCTGAGGGGAGCAATGGGCGGGTCAGGAGAGGTCTGCCGTGCCACGTAGGCACCTCCGGGGCAGGCGGGGATCGAACTCATGCGGAAGTGGCTTTAGCTTCTCAGTGCAGTGCTTTAACCCGCTGCGCCACCAGGGAGGGCTGAGATTTCTTTTTAAACTAAAAACTCTTGAAGGAAACATATGTCATCCAAGTGTGAGCTGTCATTGTCAAGTTTCAAACTCTCTGTGCCCCTGAAAAGGAGGATGGACCTCTACCCTGCCTCACGTCTGCTTCTCCAGAGTCCCTTCTGCCCTGGCAGTCCTGACATGTGGCCCGTTTCCATGCATCCCTGTGCCAGTTCCCCTTCCCTGTTGCATGCATCCGTGCCCTCACTTAGCACCTGTACACTGAGCACCCACACAGGGACTGTCCGGAGGGGTCCTCTGAGCCTCAGGCTCTAGGGAGAGGATCCCCAGCTAGAGACAGCTGCAAGGAGGCCATGTAGCTAGACATGGGCAATGGTGAGGTCTAAGGGCCAGAGGAGCCTTGGGAAAGACCAGCCCTCACATGGAAGCTTTAGACCGACAGAGGGGCTGCACTTCCCGGTACAGGCCTGTGAAGGAGAAGAGAAGAAGGTGAATCTGGACCTGATGAAGGTTAAGCATGAGAGATAGGCTGGAGGGTCAGGTTGGCAGGTGGAGAGCTGAAGCCTAAGTGGGATGAGTCCTTGGGTGGGCTTCAGTAGCAAGGGAAGGACAAGTGTGGTGCCTCGGTACTCTGGATGGCAGTGGCACATGGAGACAGTGTTGTCACTTTTGCAAGAGGGATGGAGAGGGGACAGGTTCCAGACATGCCCTGGAATAGGCACAGTGTTGCCAGGTAACCCAGCCTGGCCTCAGACCTAGCAGCAGCACAGGTGGTAGACCTAGGGGCAGACCTAGGGGCACTGGGCTGACCATGAGGCTCCAGGCCACCCAGCAGCTTCTCTTCAAACTGACAGGGAGGTCTAGACCCATCAGCATTCAGAGGACCAGTGCAGGCTAGTCACCATTTCCTGCCCTGCATTTGACAATCCCAGATAGATGCCAAATGAGCTTGTTCACCTAAACATATGTCAGTGGGTTTGAACAGTAACTTCTGTTTCCTAAATGAGAAGCTATGGTTGACGATACCTCCAGTCTGTTTAAGTCCTACAGTCACCTGGGCTAGGTCCCCTCTCTGAAACCTTAGGGACGCAGAGCCTGCTGAATTGGGAGGGAGGAGCTCTCTATGCAGATACCTGGGCTTCCCTTGCCCCCCTCATTCTGTGCCCACTATCCCTCCATCTGTTGGTGGGTCACAAAGGTACCCCCCACTGTCCCAGTTCCCCAATGGCAGAGAAACTGGCCATACCTCAGTAGGGACCAGGTAGGGGACTGGGCACCAGTCCATTCAGTCAAGTGGAAGAGGTACTTCTCTGTCATTGTTTTCAGTGAAAACTAAGTTAGCATCTGGAGAAGAGCCCACAGGTCAAGTGCATCCTAAGAGAAGGGTCCAAGATCTTCACATTTGGAAACAAGGGGTAAAGGGGGAATACTAAATTCTTTCTCAGCTCTGCAGAGAATAAGAGGTCTTAAAAATAGGAGTGACTTACATAGGCCTCATAGCTGAAGAGGAGAGGGCAGTGAACCTTTTCCTTTGAACAGACCCTCTGAGGTTCTTTTCAAATAGGCAGGGCCCAAGTCCTCTCACTGCTGTCCATCTGGTCCTCACATTGCGTCCACTTGTGTTTTGCAGCAAATGTCTTCCTTAGTCATGGAATACATGGAATCTCATGGCACCCGGTTCCTGAGGGGCTGCACTCCCTCAAGTGTGGGGAGGCTTCTGGATGGCCAGCTCCAGGTCACCTGGAAGGACGAGGTTTCTGGCAAGGAGGACAAGAGTATCTTTAACACTGTCCTGTGGGCCATAGGTAAGAGAGCACCGAGCCCATGTGCACACTCACACACAAGCCACGCATGGAACAGCACACCCCCCTCCTAGAGTGCCCATCAACCTGCCGGCTTTATACTGTGCATTTCATTCTAAAGGCCCATGGGATTGCTCCCATACTTCTCAGTGGGTTGCTGTAAGCACTACAAGCCATCGCATGCTAGAAGTGGGCATCTTCTTGGTCTTTCCAGAAGTCACACTCACTGATTTCCAGTGATAGCACCCAAGGCAGGGAAGAGTCCTTGACCTATCCAGAGGGGGGCGGGGGTGGGGGGGAGGCATGGACTGGCAGTGGCCTCATCAGCCTCACCTGTTTGCAGTTGCGTTCGCATCTTTCTTCCTAGTCTGAGAGGTGAGGGTGGAGTAGGTATGGCCGTGCAGACATAGCCCACTGCCAACCTTGCTGGCCATGTCCCTTACCCGGCTGTGCCCTCTCTGCACTTAAGCCACCCTCCTGAAGAGAAGGGTGGCAAATACAAATGTGATGACAGAGACCCCGCTCAGGGAGCTGGTCTGTGGGAACGGACAAGGGACATAAGCTTTGAGGAAAAGCTCTCTGGCCTAGAACAGGATGAAAAGAGCAGAGAGCTGATGCCATGCAGTATTGTACCTGCTTGAGGCTGCTGTAGGCCAAGGGATGGGAGAATGATGGCCAGTGAGAATGAACACAGCATGCTTGCTCTGACATCTTGCCGTCTGGCACCTGCCACTTGTAGGATAGGATTCTGGGTTTCCTAATCTGTCAATTTGCATGTCCAAAGTAAGAACAACCAAGATCAGACTTTCTCGGCATGTTTCCAATAAGGAGCTCTACACTGGGGCTGGTCAGTTAAGCTCAGGCTCTGAACCCATGAGGTTATCAGGCTCATCATCTGGCTCCATGTCAAGTAAGCCCATATTTACTAAGCACTGGAGAGGGACTGTCCTGTCCCTGTCAAGACCTGGTGGAACAGGTCCCAGCATCCTCCCAGGGTGGAGCTCCTGGGGAGGGACAAGGCTACATCACCAGCAGTGTGCTTCTGAAAGGCCTGTCTGTTCTTCCTGAGTCATTTTGATTTCTAGGACAACTGGAAATTAGGGGATGAAATAAACTCTGGAGGAGTCAGAGTTCTTCACTTCATACAGTTGGCACAGAATAACAACAAAGGAGAGATCTGGAAAAACCCTGTCTATTTAGTGCTTCTTAATTAAAATTCAGTAAATTACCAGAGGAAATATTCCTGAACAAATTGTAAAAGTAACTTTTAAGTAGGTTTATTCTGAATACTGTGGAAGGTTACATAACTGTTCAGACCCAAAAGTATAAATTGATGTTTATTATTTTAGACTCCATGGTGAGGTGGCAAATTTCTCCTGTCCTATCTGCACGCAACATTCCTCCTTTGTCTCTGGTGCCCCCTGCCCATGCATACCCATCCCCAGTCTCCAGTGCATAAGCCTGCACCCAGATGCTGTCAGCTGAGCTCATGCTGGTGGCAGCTGTTTAGTGGGGGGCAAGAGGTCGTGCCCTCTGAAAGCCTCCAATTCCTCCCTGCTTCCAGACTGGCCCTGGTGGATGACAGGGAAGGCCCCCGGTGTGCGCATGTCCACCCTCCCCTGCCAGGAGTCACTTTATTTTTGTGTTTTCAAAAAGAGCATCCCCCAGACAGTCTGCCTGCTGTGATTGATGCTGGGGGGGTGGAAGCTTTTCACAATACTTGGCCTTTGACCTTGCTTCCCAAGGCGGCGCTGTGGTGGCGGCAGCAGTTTCTGGCACGCCTTCTGGGGCTGTGTGAGCATGTGCTGACTTTGCTCTTGCTCCTGAGCCAGATTTTGTAAACATTCAAGAACCACTTCCCAGTTTAACAACTGGGAATGTTTTCTGCCGCTTTTCCCGGATAAGCCCTTAACCAAGCATTATTTCTACTTGCAATAAGGATGATCCAATCTGGGAGGTTAAATAAAACACCCTGGAGACAGCACAGCTGGCACAAAAGCAGCTCCTGGACCATACCCCCCACCCTGGCAGCCTGCACTATGTCCACATAAAGTGCGCTTTGTTGTGTATTAAGAACAGAAAAGGGAAAAATACCCCTTATGCTCCATAGACACGTGCTCAAGGCCCTGTGTTCATGCGTCAGGGCTACCCATGTGCCTGGCACCTTGTCCTCAGCCAGCAAGGACAGTGGGCACAGGGATGGTGAAGTCAGCCCTGCAATTTGGAAGCCAAGTAGAACTCTGAGCCTCTTCCTCGGTTCAGCCTTGATCTCCACGTGGTGGATTAAACACATTAGCAGTTAAAGCAGTTAATTGCTGTGCAGGGGGCCCGCTCATTGTTTGTCTCTGAATCACCCACCCACACCAGGTGTCTCAGATAATAGACTGGGAACTCGCAGTGAGGAGGATTTCCTGTCTGCAGATGTGCCGATTATGGTGCTGAGTGAAGACAGTCGGCCTGCGCTGCTGCCACCATGGGCTCGAATTCACCCCTGCACAGTTAACCAGTTGTGGGCCGAATCCCCATTGTCTGGAGAAACAGAGCCAGGTCAGAGTAGCTAAGAGATTGCCTAAGTATAAATGTTTCTAAGGAAGGGCCACAGTCTAGGGCTCCCCCTCTCTTTACCCCAGGGACTGTTAAAAGTTACAGTTCTTGCTCAGCTATAGCTGAATGAGAGTCCCCACCAGGTAGCAGGCCAGATGGAGACAAAACAAATCACAGCCCCAACACTGGAATTCTTGGCTAGAAGAGCTGAACCCAACAAAAAGGAAGAGGCACCCAGGACCAGGCTATCTGTGTTGTGGAGAAGCAGGCCGTGCAGGATGCAGCCTTATGGGAAGAAGTCCCTGTCTAAGGCTAGCAGGCTGTCTGTAGGCACAGGGCAGGAAGGCACAGGGCAGATTCCCTATGATCCAGGCAGACGGGTAAAGGAGAGTTCTGGAGCCCTCAGTGACTTATTCAGGCTTTTAGTGATCTTTCTACACCATTTGTAGTGAGGCAACCAGGTGCAGACAGGCCCTTTTTTTTTTTTTTTTAACTCTTTCCAGCCTCTCTGGCCTTCTCTCCTGGTCTCACCACTGCCCTCTTCTGTACTCTGCTTCACAGTCCTCTGCTATCTTGTCCTCTGTTGCCGTCCATATATACTCAGTCTCTTGGTTCAGGGGAGCTCACTCTGCACACCCACACCACACGCCAGGTGCCACCATCAGGCACGTGTGTAAGACCACAGGTGTTGATCATTGACACTGATGGTGGGAGGGCGGGAAAATCTGATAGCTCCCATTTATCCCACACTGTCTTTTGGGACTGCATCTTGCTGTGACTGAACTGCATGGGTGGCCATACTCTTCCTGGTGAGGATCCCATGGGGGCCTGACTGGAATGGGTCTCAAATGCAGAAAACTGCTTTATCGCAGACACCTTGACTGAACACCCACCCCTTCCCAATTCTCCAGTTGGAGACCTGCACACTCTTAACATCTTTTTATTTCAGTGCAAATGTAAAGTTAATGATTACTGACATCAAGAGAGTCACAAATCTGCTTGTATGTGGAGAAGAGGTTATGTTTTTGAAGGAAAAGAAGACAATCTTTTTTTTTTTTAAAGATTTATTTATTTATGTATACAGGACTGGAGTGCAGGCCAGAGATACAGGGGCGGCAAGAGGATTTACCAGAGACAGTGGGGAGCAGAACAGGAGATCGAAGAAGTACACTGCTGAAGGGGCGGGTCAGGAGAGGTCTGCCACACCATGTGGTCACCTCAGGGCTGGGATCAAACTCTCACTATAGGGGGCTGCAGCCAGCTTGCAGTGCTGTGTCCTAACCCATTGTGCCACCAGGGAGGGCGATCAATCATTTAAGAGCATCTTCTGTAGGCATCTTCCACAGGCCCAGGAAATTAACCATGTCCTTAGCACAATCCGTGGTCCCAGGCCATGAACTGCACCTGAAGCAGTGCCATCCACTCACTGGGCATTTACCTCAATCCCAGTGCACAGTGGCCCTACCCCACACAGAGGGCAATTGGGAAAGCAAGCTGCTCTACAGGCTAGAGGTGCAGGGGGTGAGAGGACTCACAGAGACAGAGTGGGAAGCAGAGCAGGTTTTGTACTGAAATATACTGCTGAGGAGAGCAGCAGATGGGACAGGAGAGGTCTGCCATGCCATGTGGGTCAGTTCCCTGGCCGGGGTGGGGGGTCCAACTCAGGTCATTGCACTGGAAGTGCTGAGAGTTAACCCACAGGCTGCCAGGGAGGCCCTGAAAACTAATTTAAGAAAAACTTAGTCAAACTTTTTTAGGGACAAATGGGCACTACTTATAAGTATTAATGTGTCATCAAAATTGTGCAAGTGCCACTCAGACCCCCAACTGGCATGAAAAGTATATTTACATCTATAATTGCTAAAGTAATAATTACCACCCAACTTGGAGTGTCCAGGGGCTCCCCTGGACCAGACTGCAGGTTGAGCTGGATTTCAATTTCAAAGGCTGACTGTTGGAGTCTTAGCCAACTGAGTTTATTTTTTATGTATTTATTTTTTTACTTCTTTTATTATAATTCTCTACTGTTACAAATTTGGCTTTCTGCTATATTTTCTACCATCCATTATTCTTTTTTTAAAAATAATATAATAGTTTATTTTTACATCATTTTGTGCCATTTTCCATCTCAGTTGTAATCCCCGTGGGCTTCTCATCACCAAATCACCCATGTGCCATCACCATAGCCAACTGAGTTTATTTTATACAATGTCAGTGCTCACATACAGGTTTGGATTGGAAAGGCCGGTTTGTTTCCCTGTAGTAAGCTCATCCCAGCTCCCCAGGGAACATGCACAGTAAGAGACTATCAGGAAGCCTGAGGTGCCCTGGTGGGTGCCAGCAGCCAGCGTGAGCACTGTGAGCCACAGGTCATGCTGTGGTCTGGGGTTCACTTTTTCATTCATCACCATTGAGTCCTGCTGGATCCCAAGGGCAGCTGGACAGGTGCTCCCCCTTTACCTGGAGGGTGACGGAGGGCTGGCAACTGCAGGTGGGGATATAGTGCTCTTGAGAGGGGGCCACATAAGAAAATAAAGGAAGTTCTTTGCTGTTATTATAGTTTTCCCCAAAGTCCAATATCATAAAACATATATAATAAATGTTTTAAATCAGCCCTCCAAGGATCTGGCCGGAAGTCTAAAGATATGACTCCCTCTTCTGTGTTGGGTCCAGAGTTCCTGGGAGTGGTTGGTTCTGGGGGCCTCATACGCCTCAGGAGAGTCACCCAGAATGGTTCCTCCTGAGCTCAGTGTGAAACTGCTGCTGGGACCTTGCCACAATGCCTGATTCAAACTACTGCATTTTTATCCACCTGGCACAGAGCTTCCAGCTGCTTCCTTTACGTCCTCCTATGTCTGTCTGATCCCAGCCCCTCACTCACCCTGCCATACTACTGCTGCACTTAAATCTTACATTATTACATGATTATCCTTCACTTGTTGAAACATGTGCTTCAGGCAGCTATGAAATTAGAGGAAATACCCATTTTCCCATATCAGGAGGAAAAAGGCACATGAAACTGTCCTTGTCCAGCCTGGGCATCTTTATGCCCAGCTGAGCAGGTAGTGAGGACCAGCAGCCTCCACCTTGTGGGTTTGGGCCTTCTACAGCTGCTGGCTGGGCATGGCAGCTGGACTGCCCCCTTGGGTCAGCAGCAGCAGCTGGTGTGATTCCAAGGGATCTGAGGAAGGCTTGCCTGCCGCAGCTGCATCATGGGCTTGCAGGCTGAACACTGCTCACCGTTCAAGGGCCCTGGGGTGTGCTGGATGATGGGCACCGGGAAAGAGGCCATGTATTTACAAAGATGGTGCCTCTGAAGAAGTGAGAATATCTCTTTGTACTTGGAATTCTAATGCCCCCATTTGTGGTAAATGTGTAGTAAACACATATGATATAAGAAGGCCAGAAAAATCACAAAGATGTCTATAAATAATTGAGAAAAGGCAAGAACTAGAAATTCACAAGAGGAAATGCAGTTAAACACTTAATTACTTAAACTGTTAATTTTACCAGTAGCCAAAGAAGTGCAACAATTAAAACATCACAGAGACTAGTGGGCTTCTGCCTCTGCCCCATCCCCAGGAGCACCCTCTTACGCCCTACCTGCCTCCTCCCTCCTCTGAGGACTCACCCCAAAGTGCTAAACTGACACATGGATAAAACGCCATCTGCGTCCTGGTGTTGTCCAGGGAGAGGAGCTGTGGGAGCCGCTGAGTGCCCCAGGAGAGCCAGTCCACACTGGGAGAGAGCAAGAGAGTCTGAGATGTGCTACAGTCTGGGAAAGTGCGGAGTGCGACATACAGAGAGATTCGGGTGGAGTGCAGCAGGTGTGCCCCTCTTCCTCAAGTCCTCTGAAGAGTATCCCCTTCATTTTACATAAGATAAGAGAAGGATGACCAGGGAGAGTCCTCATGTCTCTGTGTCTGGCTTTAAGTCCAGCCCAGACCTGGGCTGGCATTGTCTGTGTGGCCCGAGCTGACTTGCTTGCTTGGCCGCCCACTGGGTGCCTGCCCTGGCACCCATTCTCTGCCCTCCCCTGGAATTCTGGCCTGATCTGAGTGGGCTTCTACACCATGAGACAAGACCTGAGCACTGAGGGGAAACATGACTCCTCAGCATGAAGGAACAGAACTTCAGAGCATCCTGGGAACAGCCTATTGTAGGGGCTCAGGGCCCAGTGTTCTGGCCCTGACTCCTCAGTATGGGGTACCTGGCTGGAACTGGGTCTCACTCACTCACAGACCCACCATCATAGCTTCTAAATGCCAGCATGTGCATGGCTGGCCTTAGGGCCGTCGTCCTGCCTAGTGTGGCCTAATACCTCCTTGTTCACTTCAGGAGCATCGATGGAGCACCTGTTGCCTACCAGACCTGTTCAGTTATAGCAGCTACTCCCACCACTGCCCATCTCCCTTGCCATCTATTTGTGCTTCATAGCAGTGGCCTGACATTCCTATGGCTTTCCAGGTTTATGTGTGTAGCATGATCTTAAAAATCCTCGCTTAGTAGTTTGTGGAGGCCACCTAGTTTGATCACATGTTTTCATTTCCTGTTACTACTATTTAATATATCTTTATTTCCTTGGGGACCTCAGATAGGGTTTGGCTGGCTGTTATAAAGTTACCAGGAAGTGCAGGAAGAACTGCTCTTGGTCTCCTGTTACCCCGCCAGATGGGAGTGCATGAGCCAGCACAGGTACAGCGAATACAATATGGCCAGCATCTTCAGGGTGACCTGTGTGCTGCACCAGCTTTGCCCCTGGACATTCTCACTCCACCCCCAATGCCCCCAGAATGATCACCAGGATGTAGTGGGCAGCAGCTACATCAGCTCCCCTGAACCCTGAACCAAACAGCTGAGATCTTAGCCCTTGGTTCACAGCAGAAACCCTCCAGCCTTGTCCACTAGGCCTGGCTCCTTTCTCCTGAGCACAGCACCTTCCAGTCCTTTCCTCGACCTTCCAGGACTCCAGGGTACCTGATGTATCCTGAGGAACTGACCCCTTCTGCATATTCCCAGGCCTGCATCTGCATGGCTCTCCAGCCATCAGAAGGCAGGCATCTCCTCCTGGGGTCTGGGACATCATATCTGGTCTGATCTGATCTGATCTGAGGTGGTGCCACCCTGCCTGGCACCTGATTCCTGTAACCAGCAAAGAAAAGAGGCTGGAACTTGCACCCCATGAACTTGAGAAGCATGGTTTAGAGGAGTCTCTGTGTTTTGACTTCCCTCTCTGGGAGAGCAGCTGGAGACTTAAGGCTTCACTTTCACAACACTTGGTCTCCCAGATGCACAGATGAGGTACCTCCTGCTGCCTCTGGTGTGTCTGAGCCACCCCAGCTATAGGCATGGTGCCTTTGAAGCCTGTGCCTGGTGCCCTAAGGCCACATCTTCTGATCTAGGGGAGAAAGGGACTTCTGCTGGCAGTTTGGCTGTGATGAGGCCTAGGGCTGTGAGGGGACGGAGGTTTCAAGGAAGCTGCTAACATATCCGAGGCCCTCCATCGCCTGCCCATCATGGCCTTTGTGCCTGAGAGTGGGATACTCCAAGCTGGTGGCATGGAGAAGATGGGTATAGTGTTCAATTCTGTAGCCGCCCTCTTTGGGGTCCTCTGATTTCTGCAGACCTCAGAGCTGAGCCTATTTGCATGGAAGGCTCTTGGGACATTGGAGAGAAGCTGGCTTGCCCCATGGAGTTGCTGCAAGGCCCTGGCCTTCTGCCCTGCTCCACAGCTGGGCCCCAGATAGTGGGTGCTGGGTCAGCTTGCAGCCCAGAGGTAGGTCCTGGATAGGGTACAATTCGTGCATTCTTGTCTGAATCAACTCACTCCTTTCCTGCTGCACACATCTCAGAGGATGTCTGCTGCTGGCTCAGGATATAAGGTCACAGTGTATCTGTGCAAATATGTAATTATAAACCGTGAAGTGCTGTTCTGACTGAAGTATGAGTCTGCAGGAGGAGCAAGGTGTGGGAGGGTCACAGGGAAACAGAGAGAGTGGGAGGAAGGGTGTTCCACCCCCTGGAAGGAGCATGTGGGGCCCATGAGGCTATTGTTGGCTCACAGGTGGCCTCCATGAGGTGGAGACAACACGCCTACTCCGCAGCTCCCACCTAAAACAGTGTGGCAAGGACAGGAGCCACAGCTGTGAGAGGCCTGGTTTGTTGTCTAACAGAGTGGCTGCCCTCCAACTCTGCTCCGTGCACATCACTCTGGGGTTATTGTTGCTTCTAGACTCTTTTCTTTTGGTCACAGCCAAAGAAACCAAAAAAAAGAAACCATGTATTTCCAGTTCAAATTTTACATTATATGACATACAGGATTTGTTTGCAGTTTATTTGCTGCCAGAGCTAATTCATTCCTACAATCACTACTATCTTTTCTGAATGTGCTGTCACCAACCTCATAAAAGACTATTTCAGCTTATTTACCTGTTTTAGGGACTATTTTCCTTTTTTGATTTTATATATATAAGTTATGCTAATTATTAAAAGCACAAAATTATCACAACATATGTTTAGAGAAGTGTCTGTGCCCTGCACCCTCTTTCTGCCTTTCTCTGGCTCACTGTTTCTACTAGTTCTGCTTTGGCCTTTCGTCAACTCACAGTGCAAATAGGGGTGTGTGTGTGTGGATGTGTGTGTATTTGGGTGCCGCTTGAGGCCTCAGAGGCTAGCAGCCCCTCAATGCTGCGTGTGCTTCAGATTTCATCGGTCTGAAATGGACAATCCAAGAAATACTATAAAGCAAGGAGTCTAGGTCAAACCTGCTGAAGAAAACCTTTCAGCCCTGTCTTTATTTCTTTCAGGTCGAGTTCCAGAAACCAAAATTCTTAATTTGGAGAAGGCAGGAGTAAAAACCAACCCTAATAATCATAAGATCCTGGTGGACGCCCGGGAAGCCACCACTGTCCCCCACATCTATGCCATCGGAGATGTGGCAGAGGTATAGGCTTCTAGCCAGCATTTCCGTCTCTGCTTGGTCTCTGCATGACCACCTCCTTATCTACGTGTCCTTGCTTGTTCTCAGGATCCTAATCCAGTATGCTCTCACCTCAATATATGTCTTGATGTATCTGCAAAGACCCTTATTTCCAAATAAGGTCACATTCTGAGATTCATGGTAGCATTTTGCTACCATATTGTATTAATTTTCATCCATTCATCATGTAGTGAGTGAACAGCCATTTTTCTAGGTTCTGGGTTACTGCTGGAAGAGAGAAAAGTGCAAGTCCTTATAGAGGTGACATTCTGGTAGGGGACACAGAGGACCATTAAGTAAGTAAACTACTTCAGATGTCAGAAGATGGTTGCGCTTGTGGTCAGGAGAGTGGGGGGCAGCATGCAGCCCCTGGGCTGGAGAAGAGTGAGTTGGGCAAGTTCACCGATAACCCTCACCCCCATAAGGGAGTGTCGGTTTGGGGAATGCCTGGAGACTAAGGCCAGAATCCCCTAGGTAGAGCATCCCAGAGGTGAGAGGGCACAGGTGGTAGTCCCCTATGTTGAGGGGACCATCCTGTGGTCTCGTCTGTCAGCCTGTGCTGCAGCTCATGATGGATGGGAGCTTCAGGAGAGTTTGGCGCACGCGTAGAGACAGGCCAGGGCAGGAACCCCTGCAAGTCTGTGCCTTTGTTTCTGAAGGGCTCATCTTCCCCCTGGTACGGGTCTGTCCTGCTAGATGCAGACCCCTCCTGCTATGGCAGCACAGCTCCCAGGACCCCCAGTTTACCAGAGGGGTCACCCATCAGACGTGAGTCAAACTGCTGGTGCTTAAGTCCCTCAGGCCCCTGTGAACCCAGGCTTGTGAAACAGCATATGGGGCAGACCTCCAAGCTGATGCAGGTCTGTGAGGGGACCGTACAGCTGGGGGCTCAGTCAGAACTGCAGTCCCTCTCAGCAGCAGGTCACCACTTACCAGCCTGTTGATAAGTGAAACTAGTGACTCACATGACCTACGCTATCCTGAAGACACAACCCACTTAGCTGGGTTGTGCAGCTACTTGATGGGACCTCAAATGGCTCGACATGGCATTCCCTGATGTCAGCCACTCTCTTCCTGCTGCATGCCTGCCCTGAGGTAGCACAGTGGTCTTCACTGAAGAGCACATGTGCAAGCCATGCTGACTGTCTGTACACCCCAGGAGCAAAGCTAGCTGGAGTTCCATGAGATGCCAGATTCCTGCCAGTGTGGTGGAATTTCTAATATTTCAGACTATGTTGCCAGAAATATAGAACACATGCAAAAATATTTTTTTGTTAAAAAAATTAAATCCACTCACATTGGGACTTCTCATTCCAAGCAGTCCAAAGAGTTAATGATGCCCTGTGGTACCGCAAGCAGCAGGGAAGAGTCTAGCAGGTGGGTGGGGTGGCCATTGTTAATGAGATATTATGTGCTGTATGCTGGATGTTTCCACGGTTAGTCAGTCCCAGTGGAATGCACAGGCTGCTTTCACAAGTTTATCTCTTCGGATCTCTATTCATTTCTGGAATGTCAAACAACATCTGCATTTCCTGCTGCTACAGAGGTGATTGGCAGCCGGTCCCAGGCTGACGCGTGCAGGGGCACTTGGGCTTTGCACCCCCTGCTCTCCAAGGCAGACACACCCTGGGACAGAGGACCCTCCAGCCCAATGACATCTGATTTGGGACTTGTAATGGGCTCTTGGGTGCAAGTCAAGTACATGTAAGGAGCACGTGGAATTCTTCTTCTTGGCCTGTTTTAGCTGAATCCTGGTCAAATGGCTGTGGGATCATTTGAGTTTCGTCACAGGGCAGCTCTCCAAAATCACCTATGCCAGGAAAGGGTGCAGAGGGAAGATGCATGGGCAATATGGCTGGGCTCACCTCTTTCAGGGAAGAGGATCGTGACCCAGGTTGTCTCCCCAGAGCAGCACTGAGGAAAGCAATGAGGACAATTAAACCTTCCCAGGGCCCTGGACACCCAAACTTGGGGGTCTCTGCAAGGGAGAGACCCCCAAGTTTCCTCACTCCTTTTGAGGAAGGTGAGAGGTGGTGGTATAGGGACTATTCAGATTTCCTTAGACATCATGCTAAAGTGACACCTTCTCCTTCCTTTGGTCAGGGGCGGCCCGAACTGACACCTACGGCTATCATGGCTGGGAAGCTCTTGGCCCAGAGGCTCTGTGGTCAGTCCTCAGTCCTGATGGATTATAACAATGTGAGTGCTCGCTCTTCTTCAGAATGCCAGGTCAGCTTGGAGAAAGCCATTTGGGAGCATGCAGTGTTTGTGTGTGCCTGTGAGATTTAGCTCTAGGGGTGCAGCCCAGAAGCAAAGGAAAGTCCATGCATTCCACCCACTGTCTGGCATCCGCCAGCCAGCACATCTGGAGACCTGACCTCTGATCCTGGTTGGGTGGGGGCGACAGGAAGGAGGACTTTAGTTTTGGGTCTCCAGGGGCAGGTATGATGCAGGACTTGCCTTCCAGGTCCCCACAACTGTTTTTACCCCTTTGGAATATGGCTGTGTGGGGCTGTCAGAGGAGGAGGCTGTGGCTCGCCATGGAGAGGAGCACGTGGAGGTAAGTCAGGACCCTGAGGAGAGGGGTGTCAGGATAGGCCACCTGTGCAGCACTCATACTCTTTGATGGCTCCTCTCCTGCCCAGAGGATAAGCAGCAGTATTACATCCTTGCTTCTCAGGTCCTGAGTCTTGGAGGGACGTGGAGAAACGGGGTGATTGCCATGACACGGCAGGAAGGACCCAGTGGGGCAGGAGTTTTAAGAGGGTGGCCTCAGTGATAAGGGTGTGATGGAATGTGGCCCGTTTCACAGGGGCACATGTCTCCCTTGACCTGGAAAGCTGCTCATACCCTCAGACCTCTGCTGCCCTCCAGCCCTGCTTGCCTGCCCCCAGGTACCTCACCCTTCTTGTGGTTCCATCAGGCAAGACCTCCCCAACCTTTCCCAGCCCCATACCAGCTCCTGCCCCTGTTCCTCTTACAAGATTCTCCATTTCCCCAAGCCCACAACAGCCCAGACTTGGGTACTCACCCCAGAGGAAGGGGTTTTCATCAGATAAAGCTATTTCTGGGATCTGCTCCCGCAGATCGGCTAGTGCCCCAGGGCAGTCACGGTATAAGCCCCAGGTGGTATCACAGGTGCAAGGAGGTTTTGAAACCTGCCAGGTTAGGGAGGCTAGAAGCTTTCATTGGGGCTTCATCTTGCTGCTGTGGCAGTTTGCAGGCGAACCAAAAGAACCAGACACTGTGTGGCCACCATGTTGGGGCCAGGGTCCCTCTGGGAGTGATTCATGGGCTCCAGGGTCTGCCCCTTGCCCCAGGGCCCTGTTCCCTCCATCAGCGGGTTAGGCCTGACAGGCCGGCCATCTCCCGGCACTTTATTTGCTATTTTTGTTTGATTCATCACAAGTACACTGGGACACATGTTCATGGCATTTTATAATGTTGTTTTATGTTTCACAATGTTGAATGGCCAAATACCCTTTATTTGTTTTCTTTTCAATTCTGTCTTAGTTAGAACAATATTCTCTGAAGCTCCATTAATTAATAATGGCTGTGCAGCACATGTGAGGACGCTGCTCATTTTTTACTTGGCCGCAGCCCTGAATACACTGTCGAGCCCTTCACAGGCGCTGAAAGCCTTTGTCCAACAGCTCCAGTGTGGGCCTGGGGTCATCCTGTGCCTGCCCCTCCTCTGGCTCAAGTAAAATCCCAACAAGCACCAGGGTGCACAAAGGAGGCCAGAAGACTGCCTGCTCACCTATTCCTGCCCCTGCCCACCCCTCCCCACTGCGGCAGTTGCTCTGCCCATGCAGCAGCATCCACCCAGTGGTGCTCATGAGCAGTTCCTCTGCCCTGTGCTGAGTGAGAGTGGAGGCCACTTGGCCAGCCTGGTGCCTGGTCTGCTGCTCTGGGCCACAGGGGCTTGGCTTCAGTGGGAGAGGACCTGTTTGCAGAGAGTAGAGATCCAGCCACAGGCTGCCTGTGTGTGAGAAAGAAGGGTGCTGTCCACAGCCAGCTGAACTGTGTCCCACCCTTGACCACATCTGCCAGCTGAGTGGGAGGGTTCTGGGTTCCCACTGTGCCCTGATGTCTGCCCCACAGCCTGTCAGAGTGAAATGCTTAGGAGGCTGGTTTCACAGTAGCCAGTGACTCCAAGAATTGGTACCTTGTCCCCCAGGTTTACCATGCGTATTACAAACCCCTGGAGTTTACGGTGGCTGAAAGGGATGCATCCCAGTGCTACATAAAGGTGAGTGTTCTCATGGGCCTGGGTCAGGGCATGCTAGGAGGCGAGGGAGAGGGAAAGAGCTGGCTGCCGAGTGGGTCACCCTCCATAGCTCTTCCAGAATCCAGAAACGTGAATATCTTCTAGGGAGGTGCTTGTACCCTTCATCCTTGTAGGACTCTGGGGCCCTGTGTACTGCCAGGGCTATGTGTGCTCCTAGTCCAGGCCACCCATGCAGCCCTGGGGTCCTACCTCTGGGTTCACCATTGACAATGTGACTTTCAGATGGTGTGTCTTCGAGAGCCTCCACAGCTGGTGCTGGGCCTGCATTTCCTTGGCCCCAGTGCAGGAGAAGTTACTCAAGGATTTGCTCTGGGGATCAAGTAAGTGCAGAGGAATGCTGTCCTTACGTGATGCTCACCCTGTTGTCCCTCAAGGTGCTGGCAGCTCCACAGTGGAAAGTCCACAGCATTGACGGCGCTTTTTTTGTCGTGCTGTCTGTTTTCAGCAGAGCATCTCTGCAGATGTGACAAGGAATCAGATGAGAGACAGCTTTCTTCTCCAGCCAAATACTTTTAAACCAGAGCCACACAGTGTCCCTAGGTGTCCAGGCAGCCTGGGAGGAGGGGAGAGCTCTGAGTTCCCAGCTGACCTTGGGGATCACTGGACCTTGTCTGCGCAGTCAGAACAGGGTCAGCACTGCACTGCCAAAGCAGCTGTGTATCTTCTGGAGTTGCAGCCTAGGCTTGGGCGCTGGGCTGTGGGGCCTGCCTGCTGATGAAGGCTGTGGGTGGGAGTGAGGAGGTTAGGTACCTAGGCATGGGTTCCTCAGAGGCAGGAGAGCTGGGTGAAGCAGAGGTGAAGGACAGCTCGGGGCTAGACTCAGAGGAGGGCACATGGGGTACCTCAGCCCCATGTGTTTTTAGGGTGTGAGTGTGGGTGTGACTGGGAGCTCACCTTGGGGGTTGGTGGAGGTAGTTAGGGCAGATTGGTTCAAGGTTAGGGCAGGGTCTTGAGGAGCAGGGCCAAAACTCAGAAAGGCCAAGGACCTGGTCAAGATGCCTCAGGGCATGTCAGCCTGTGTACACATGTACCCTGGGCTTAGATGGCACAGGCAGGGAGCCTCAGACCCCATCGTTGCCCTCCCGTTCCTTTATACTCACACTGCAGCAGTCACTGGCTTGTGGCAGCGGGTGCCCCCAGGGGGTGGGCCTGACCTTAGAGAAGAGGAGGAAGGGCTGAGTTCAGGACCATTTTCAGTCTTTGGAGTCCACCTGGTACCTGATCATGGATGCCAGCTTCAGGGCAGCTGCAGTAGCACCATTGTTTGGAAGCTCCATCCAGGGTCACCAGTGGAAGGAAGCTCATGGGCTCGGCGCTGGCTTTGTTGAGCCCCGCTAGAGCCCTGGGCTGGAAGGGCATTCTACCCTGGTACAACTGGTGACCCCAGCGTCCTCACCTGCTGGCCTGTGTGTGACTGCAAGGTTGTTCATCGGACCACAGCACTAGCTCCATCTCTAGTACCGGTGAACAAAGCCGTGGTTCTCCCACAAAGCCATCTCCGTCCTCTGGCACACTGGTGTTTGTGCCAAGACTGATACCCAGCTGGATCAGTTTCTAGAAAGACTCTAAAAAAGCCCTTTATAATAATGCTACCAAAGAAGACTGATTTTCTTAACATGGCAGAGTTCTTTTTTTTTTTTTTTTAGATTTATTTATTTATTCATATGGAACTGGGGTACAGGCCAGAGATGTGGAGGGTGAGAGGATTCATCAGAGACAGAGAGGGGAGCAGAACAGGCAGATTGATGAAGTACACTGCTGAGGGGAGCACCAGGCGGGTCAGGAGAGGTCTGCCTCGCCATGTGAATCTCCTCCGGGGCAGGCGGGATTTGAACTCATGCGGTAGTGGCTTTTAGCTTCTTAGTGCTGTGCTTTAACCCGCTGCGCCACCAGGGAGGGCCAACATGGCAGAGTTCTTATAAATTGAAAATTGACATTGATTGTTGCAGGGTAAACCCAATAGAAAGATGGAGAACTTGAGTAGGCGATTGACAGGAAAAGAAAACCTAAGTAGTAGAAGGTCTTCAGAATTTTTAAGTGTAATTAAAATACCAAGAAACCCTTTCGGTGGGTAAGAGTTCAAAGGTTTGCCAGTAGTGATAGTTTCCAGCATCTGTGCATTTGAGATGCTAAAGGTTTGAGCAAATCAGTGGCTTTATGGGATAGTCAGGAGAAGGTATGCACTGAACCCTCGGTTGGGGGCCTTCTCCCATGTCAGAAGTGCGTATTTCAACATGTGCATACATAAGAATAGCTGATCTTGTAGCCTTGTCTGATAAAATGGTGGATGTGCCCTGCAGGGCACCCACATGTGCTGTGCCCAGGACAGACAGTGCCGGGGTGGGGGGATAGTCTTGTGAGAGAAGCACCCGGTGCTGGGCAGAAGACCATGGTGAAGCCGGTTGGGTGCAGGCTACAATGAAAAGAGGGGGCCCAGGCGTTCTGGAGCAGCCCTTGGTAGAGTAAGGGAGTGGGCCCCATGGAGGGACCAGTTGGAGCCAAAGCTCAAGGTGGGGCTGTGTCTGGTTGGCTGGGAGCAGCAGGAGGCCAGGGTGGAGACAGTAGTGGGAGGGGGGAAGAGTGCTTAGCCACTGGGCGGTAGGACGGTCCAACATAGGTATTGATAAGTATTCCTGGAGAGAGACAGTGAGGGAGGCAGAGAGGAGACTGTCTTCCAGGGTCTCCCCTCTGTGCCACTTTCCTGGGAATAGGGTGATATGGATGCATCTCTCTGCCCTGACTGGTTGCCCTGATTCCTTCTCCCCTTACGCACAGGTGTGGGGCCTCCTATGCACAGGTAATGCAGACAGTGGGCATCCACCCCACCTGTGCTGAGGAGATAGCCAAGCTGCGCATCTCCAAGCGCTCAGGCCTGGACCCCACCATGACAGGCTGCTGAGGGTAAGCCACCATCCCTGCCAGGCGCAGAGCACAAGGCATACCTGCCACCGCCCACAGCCTGGCTCTGCGGAGACCGGAATCCAGGTATATACACATGGGCTAGACTCTGTTTAGGGGGGGAACCATGGGAATTGTTCTCTCTAGGTGTGTGGGAGGCTGCACCTGCCATGCCCCCTCAGACAGGTGAGCCCTGTGCCCAAGGCACCATGGCCAAAAAAGCGGGGTTAGGAGGGGAGGCCCCTGAGGGTTCCACCCTCCGCAGGGCAACCCAGGCCCCAGCCTTGCACTTGCTGCTCCCTATACACGGGTGTGGGGGCTAAACTCACACCTGTAGCCACCTGTGTCAGGTGGGTGCTGGGCATAGCAAGCATAAGCATCCCTGGACCCAATTCTGTGGGTGCTGGGCAGAGGAGCCAGCGACTTGCTCTTGCCTTGCTCAGTGCTGAGTAGCAGGGCTGGCTCTTTCCCCCTCGCCCAGAAGGTGGAGATGCTGCCTCATGCACAGCCACTGCCTGACATCTGGTGCTGTAGAGCTTTGTAAAGCGAGGCTGGTAGGCAGCGGCTGGAAAACTTAGGGATTGTTGTTCATCCCAATTCTCTTCTGAGGAGGAAGAAAGTGTGAGTCTCCTCCTGACCCCTGTCAAAGGGATGCATGTGGCCAGAGCCTTTCTTCTCTCAATCTGAGCCAAGCCCTTCGAGCCCTGGTGGCTAGTCTCAGGGTATCACCCGTACTAGCTGGCCCCTCCCCAGCCTGGGTCCTGCAGGCCTCCTCTCTCCCCTCAGGGCCCAAGCAGACTGCAGACAGAGTAATGCGAGTCTGCAAGATGCCTGCGGGCAGGCACGGAGGGCCAAGTGGTCTGAGGGTACCGCCGGCAGCTGGCCCAGACCTGGGGCCTCTCATGCGTACTTGCTCTACCACAACCCCCTTTCTCAATCAGGGTTACCTCTGGTATAGACTAACAAAGGGCATCCTGGAAAATCCTTATCAGAATATTCTACCTAAAAGAGCTATTTTTTTAAGGGCCAGTTTTTTTTTTAATCATTTCAGAAATTTTTTTAAAGATATTTATTTATTTATGCATACAGAAGTGGGGTATAAGCCAGACGTTCAGGGGTCTCTGGTGAGAGGATTCACAAGAGTCAGAGTGGGGAGCAGAACAGGCAGATTGATAAATTACATTGCTAGGGGGAGCAGCAGGCAGGACAGGAGAGGTCTATTACACCATGTGGGTCATCTTTCTGCCTGGGGATTGAACTCACAGAAGTGGCTATGGCCAGCTTCGCAGTGCTGTGCTTTAACCCACCAGGGAGTTTCAACACCACCAGGGAGGGCCCCATTTCAAAATATTTTTAGTAGTACAATGCTCCCTGTGACACATCACCTAGTGGAGGGAGGGCTCTCTTTAGGATACATTTGTCATCTGTCCTGAGAGGGTCCCCTTGTGGGTATGGGAAACATGGTCACCCCATGCTGACTCTAAATTCTTGACAGGACCCCGGAGGCCAAACCTGGGCAAGCTTTGCCCCTATCTGGAGAGCCCCTGGCTGGAGGGACCCTGAGGTAGCCAGCGTGTCTGGACAGATTGCCTGTGTGCCCTGCAGGGATGGCTTCTAGGGGCAGCTAGCCCCAACACCTGCACTTCGTACCCTCTCCTGCCTGGGCTGGCCTTGCCAGGCCCCAAATACCAGATGATGACGACCTGTGCAGAAACCCACCCTACGGGCTGCTCATGTCCGAGCCTCCCTGGTATTTCTGGAGTACAAATAAAGAGGATGTTTTCCCTAAAGTCTGCTCTGTGTTTGGGGTCCCCAACTTGCCCCCCAGAATGATGGATAGGGATAGGGACTGCCACCCAGGCCAGCACCCCCTGTTAGCCCACCTTTGTCATTTGGGAGCCTGGGGTCCTTGTACACCTCGCCTTCAGTGCTGTGCTTTCAACAGCCCCACCTCCTCCTCTCTGGTGCAGGGAGTGGGCTGCCCAAAGACCCCAGGGGTCCTTTCTGAGACCTTCAACTTGGGTCTCTGCACCTTGCAGAATGGAGTGTGGCCAGGCTCCCTGCAGACTTTTCAAAGACTTTTTTTTCCAGAGCAGCTTGCCAATGGTATGGCCCAGTGACAGGACTTGGCAGGGGTATCAGAGGCTTTCTGTCCCCTGAATGTCAGGTACCCCACTTAATTTCCATTGTGACCCTCCAAGTTAGTTTGTTAGCTGTGCTTAGGCTAATCCTGCACATTGAGACTTGATGGGCCAGGGAGCGCCCGGCGGCACCCACCGCACCTGTCAGTCACCTCACAGAGAGACAGCGCTGACAGTGACGGGCAGGGCCAGGCATTGTGCTTGGAGCTTTAGCAGCGGTTAATCTCATGTCTTCCTTAAGAAAACATCACTTAGTCTGCCGCCCGGGAGCCCTGGATGGGACCCTGCTTGTCAGCAAACAAAGGAATGTGTTTGCACCTTAATGGGCCTAGGGAGCCTCAGAGCTTGCTTGCTCGCTTGGTGTGAAGCGTGTGCTGGAGCTCTCAGACGCCCAATTAAGATGCCAAGTGCCAGGCTGGGCCGGGTCCTCTTAACAAGTGCAGTGAGAGATCAGCCGTATCCCATTTAACGCGCGACTGGTGGCACACCCTGGCCTCAGATCTTGCAGGATGAGCTTGCCTCCACACTGGGTGTTCCCCTTGCTGAGAGGCAAAGTTGAGGTCTGCAGAGGTCAGTGAACAGACTGGGGTCCCAGGGGCAACTTGGGTAGGCACCACTGGGCAGGAGCCTGCAGTCCCCTCAAAACTGGATTTGCCCCTGTCGTGGGAAAAAAGAGGAACTTGAAATGGCCCTGTTGCTTTGTGTGGCAATGGAAATGATGCAGCTTGCATGGAGGGCTTCAGTATACACTGGGCAGCTTTTGGGATAAGGTCCTTTTGCCCCCTGACCACCCTGCTGGCCAGGAGTGCTACCACATGGCTGTTTCCTCACAGGCCCCTCGGGGTAGAATTTTTGCACACCTGTTTCCCCAGAAGGATTTGCCCTGGCACACTTTCTGTGTCTGTGACATCCACTTTCTCAATATTGTGTCTGGCCAGTTCAGCAGCTTGTGCCATCACCTGGGTGAGAACAAAGCGTCTGAGGTATTGGTGCCATCAGCCTCAGCAGCCCATCATGTGGGTGCTCAGTACAGCTCTGAAGGATATCACTCATGGGGTGCTGAGTCTCCATAGTCCCCCACCCCAGAGGCTTTAGTCTACCAGCTACCCTTGTGTGGGCAACACCCCAATAAACAGTGGGCAGGGCCCTGATGCAACTCACAAGCAGTTGGTGTTTAGAAAAAGCCTGGGCCTGGTGTGTGCATCAACCAACCCACCCTTGCGTCTTGTGCTGTCAGTAGAGCTCGCCTGGCCATGGGGCCCAGTGCCCTGGATGTCTACTCTCCATGAGCCTCCAACCCAGAATTCAGGGCAGAGCAGCTGTGTTCTTGGTTCTCATGCCTGAGTAAGTGTGGGGAGCAGGACAGAGTGTTGGGCTTAAGTAGTTTCTGTCCTATGTACCCTCAGGTCTGCCAGCTCCAGGCTTGCTGTGTGTTCTGAGGTCCTTTCTCTAGGCCCACTCTTGCCCTGTCCTTTCCTCCCAGGCAGCTCAGGGAGGGGCCACAGCACCAGAGGCCAGATGCTCTCCCCTTGGCCCCGGGGCCGCCTTACCGCCGCCTTTGCATGTTTTTATGGTGCAATGAAAATATGACTTTAATTCCTCAGATTGTTTCGTGTAACCTACAATTACCCCCGGCAACGTCCTGCACACTTCTGCTTATGACTCCAGATTGTGCAATGACATGGGAAGGAGGGGGGCTCAGGGGCCAACTACCTCTCTCTGCCTCATCTACTCTGGAGTGGGGCAGGTTTTCCTCCAGCCTGCCACCACCATCCCCCCCAAGCCCATGACATGCTGCCCCTGAAAGCCCCAAGGTGCCTGGGAGGTGGGGTGGACACACAGAGGAGGAGTGACAAGCTGTTATTGAGGACTGGACCGGGGATCAAAGGAGCACACAGGAGGAGCAGAGACCCAATTCAGGAGGAGTCTGGAACACAGGAAGAACAGAGTGGACATCAGGCCCAAAAGGCAATGTGGCACTCAACCTACAGCCCACCTCCACTCCCTCCCCAGATCTCTGGTTGCTCTCTCAGCATCCGCAACCCTGCTGGGGACCCCAGCGTTGCTTGACCCCTGCCCCATATGGTCCTCCCACCCAGTATGGGAACCATCGCCTTCCTTTTAGTTCAGCCAGCCCAAACTAGCCCCGAGAACCAGAGACAACGTGGGGGATACCACCATCCCTGCACGGGAGCAAGGATTCCAGCACTGGACCCACCGTAGACCTGAGCCAGCCCTGTCACTAGGGACCTCACTGCCCATCCACCCAGGTCCTGGCTTCTGCCTTTGCCTTTCTGGTGTAGGAAGCTAAGTAACCAGCACCCATTTTCTCCAGATTGTACTCCTTGGGCTGCTACAGAGCCCCAACCCCTCTGCTGGGGCCATAAGCACAGAGCATCTCTGTAAGGACTCCAGGCTGAGAAAGTAACCCCTGGAGTCTGCATTGCTGACCTGTTTCTGCTTCTGTAACCCCCGTCTCCCCATTTCTACCTCCTTTCCTTTCTCCTCTGCCCCCTTCTACTCCCCCTGTCACCTAGTCCACCACCTCCTCACCAGATTCTCCTTGGTGTTGGTGTCAGCAGAGGCCTTGGAGAAGAAGCCAGGGCCAGACGGGCCCCCACCTGGGCAGCATTTATGTCCTGCACATGTTTCTTCATCTGCTACCATCTTCACCTTAGATCTGGGCTCTTTTGCTGGATGCTTCTAGGTCCTCAGAGCTGTCTTAGTTCCTTCCTATAGCAGGAGGGGGCATAAATAAACAGAAGTAAACTGGCTGCTGCCCCTCTGAAAGGAACAGAAGAGGGGGTAAGTAGGGGCAGCAGGACATAGTTGCTGACTACCTACTATCCAGGCTTCACTTTTTTGCTGAACTTTTTCCAAGTGTGGGGACTTTGGGGGCAAAGATCCCCCCAGTGCCATACAAACAGTGGTTCCCAGCTAAGAACCTTCAAGAGTGGTGAAGAAGCCCTGGCATTAGTTTGCAGAGTCCGCTGAAGTATCGAGAAGAGAGACTGTCTAATCCCAGCGCCAGTGTGCTTCACAGTGCTCAGATTTCCTTAATCCCGAAACCCAAGCTGGAGTCTCAGCATCTATCCCAATGCCATTCGTGTGGGCTGCAAGAGGTTCCCTTCCCATTGGCCTGATGTGTTTTGAACTGACTCCACTAAGACAAGGCAGGGGAAAAAGCACCAGTGGGCTGCAATGTCACTCTGCTGAACCCAGGTGAGCTCACAAAAATCCATGTCCTCAGCTAACCTGATGGTGCTTCCTTAGCCTCTTCCCAGGCAGGAAATTCAAAGCCAGCGGTGATAGCAGAAACCCTGGGTAAGGCAGCCTCAGCTCAAGCCTGCCAAGTGCCTGGCCTCTAGGGTTTCATGGGACAATGATCCGGCCTTGCAGTTCCACAAAAGTAAGCTTTCTTTCCTAATAAAATTGGGATCTTTTTGGCTTATATCTGGTGATCAAATAACACCAAATGCTTGGGAATAAAGTGAAACCGTAAATAAGAGATGGTGTGACCTTGTTACATCGCAGCTGGGGGTCAGGAGCCAGCTGGACCAAGCTCCCTGCCCTGACCACTGAGCCACCCAGACCACCGGGTACCAGGCACATGTGTGTGACATGGGGCACCCCACAGGCTTTCTTTTTGTAAGTATATTAGCAGGGCATGGCAGCCACGTGTAGTAAGGAAGACTAACAGCACCTCATGGTCTTTAGCATCTTTGAAGAATTTTCATACCCATAAATTTCCCCAAAGCAGCTGTAATTAGCTCCTGAGTTTGAGGCTCAAGATATGGTATAGAACAGGAGGAGATCAAAGCGATGTCCGGATGTGTTTCCTTCGGCCTCCCACTTGATGAGTGAGAAGACCGATGCCTAGACCTCCCAGAAGTCTCCATGGAGCAGGATGGTGCAGCCAGGTCACAGGACCCAGCCGCCCTCCCCACTGAGGCTTCAGCGTCAGCTTCGTGCCTGTAGGGGAGAGTGGATGGGAGCAAGACCAGCACAGTGTCAATGGCTCATTGTTCTGCCCTCAGTGGCTGAAATTGGGCTGGGTGATTATAATAATAAAGTCCTAACGATCAGTCAGTGGTTGGGTTTCCATAGCTTGGGGAGTATTTGATTTTCAAAGACTTTGGCAGGGGAGACACTGTATAAATGAAGTATGTTGTTCACATCAGTCCTTTCTTTGCAAGTCAGGCACCTTAATTGTTTTACAGGATGATGTACCTTCAGCTCCTGGGTGCTCAGACACTTTGGGGTGGGAAGCAGCACCTAGGAGGCCCAGGCATTGTGTGAAATAATCCCTGCCTTCACCAGCTCAGACAAACTATAACCCTCCAGCCCTCCCTCCTCCCTCCCAGCCTGCCACCACAGAGACTCCAGAGTCTTAGTTGTACCTTCTTTCACAGCACATACCTTGCCCTATGCCTTTGCCCATGCTGTTCCATCAGCCCAAGCCCCCTCCTCTGCCTGGGCAACTGACACTCTATCTTTGGTTAAGATTCAGTGCAGGCTGCTGGTGGGACTGCAAACAAGTATAACCACTATGGAAAACTGAAGGTTCTTCAAGCTGCTAAACATGGAGCTTCCATATGACCCAGCAGTCCCACTCCTAGGTATCTAACCAAAAGAGAC